TTGACATCTATTTCGCTTGTACTCCATGTCTCCTGTAAAAATACAATGTCATAACCTTGAATGAATTTAACAAAGGACGGGTCAGATGCCTTTTTAGGCCAGCCTGCAATATTCCATGTTAGAAGGCTAAAGTCAGCTTTGGCTTTGCTGAAGTCTAGAGAGAAGAAGAGAGCCAGTGTGGTGTAGTGGTTAAGAGCGGTAGTCTTGCAATCTGGTGAACCGGGTTCGCGTCCCCGCTCCTCCACATGCAGCTGCTGGGTGACCTTGGGCTAGTCACGCTTCTTTGAAGTCTCTCAGCCCCACTCACCTCACAGAGTGTTTGTTGTGGGGGAGGAAGGGAAAGGAGATTGTTAGCCGCTTTGAGACTCCTTAGGGTAGTGATAAAGCGGGATATCAAATCCAAACTCTTCTTCTTCTTCTTTGTCAGTTGTCTTTCGGATAACTTTTGGAGTTTGCCATTTTTTGTGGCAACTGACTGTCATTTGTTCTGGTGGTATCCTTACATGGAGAGCTGCCCAGGCATTCAATGATTTCGGATGGTGGATGTAAGATGCTCACATTAGTAGTCATAGGACCTTTGTTTTGCGAGGCCTCCTCCGGAGGATGTTCTGTCTGGTTGAAATCTAGTTCCTCCTCATCTAGATATCTCATTTTAGTTAAAAAGCCCAGAGAGATCTCCTTGGGGGTGGTTTTCCTTTTAGGGGGCGATATACTGCCCTCCCTTATGTGTTGTGCTTTCATAATTAAAGGCGGGTTTATCTCTGCGTTTACCTGGAGGTTATGTGGATAACAATCTGCTGAGTTATATTCCTGTGTAGGAATCATTTTGGAGGAAATCTGGCCCTTTTTCAGGTCATCCTCCTTGGAATCATTATATGCGTCTTTCCCAGCCAGTCTGTTTCTTAATGTCTTTCTAGAATTTCAGCTTGGATTGAGGATGGAAATGACCAGAATTGACTTATTAGAGTGTTTTCTTCTGTAGAGAAATTGTCCTTTTGCTCGCTCACAGGGCATTGCAAATCATGTAAGGGTATGCTTTTCCTTTTTAATTTTGGGGTCTCTTGTTTATGATGATCAGACCAGACCTTTTGGGGTTGGCTCTCCTTTTTAGATTTTTCCTGGTCCTCTTCTACCATTGGCTTATCACACTTGGCATCAAAGAGGGGGGTCAATGGTACCCTATTTTCAAAGAATCTTAGTATTGCTATCCTTTCCTTTAAGAATAGATGTCTTGATCTGTGGATAAGTTTGGCCAAATTTTGATCTTGAAAGGTGATCATTGCTCGTACAGAGTAACCATTATAATGTAAGTACTCTGTAGAAACAATATCGTTTGGCTTTACTACTCCTGGTAACATATCATTCAGGATGTTCAGGAAATGCAATATGCGATCTATCCGTGAGAGGAAGCCCTTCAGTTTTGGGTAGTTAACATATACAAGTTTTTGAGGGATTAGTATCAGGTTCCAACCTTTTTTCTAGATTGGAACTTGCCAGTCCTGTAGTATGTCACCATCAATATTGTGGGCCACGTCCTCTTTAATACCCGTATTTCTAATTGGTTTCCTTCCAGGGCTCTGAGATGTTACTTCTGTTATTACGTTTGTTTCAGGGCTCTGATTCGGGATTTCCTCCTCAGGTGTTAACTGGGGTTTTGCCTTGTTTAATCCCAACTTTGCCTTTCTCTTTACTGCCCCGTGGGGCAGATTTATTTAAGCCTGGTATAGAGGATGGTGGAAGTAGGTTGTAAAGTTTCTGCCATTGTTTTTTGCGAGTGCAATGGGTTATCTTTGATTTCCTTAGTGTTTTGATATTTTTACTTTTCTTTTTTTTGCTTCTGGTTTATGTCTTTGTGACTTCTTGCTGGTTACTGGGTGATTCATATGTGCTGGTTCGGGTAGGTTGCTCATTTGGTCAGTGTCATTTGGCTCTGTGCCTCTTTCTTGAGGTGTAAAATTTTCCACTAGAGTCAGGAGTAGCCCATTTGTTACTGCTAGAAATTTTTTCATGCTGGAGGGTCCGTGCATATCAAGTGGAACTGGTCCTGAAGATAGCCGTCTCTCTCCTTTGTTTGAGTACATTTGGAAGTAACCAGTTGGTTTTTCCCAAGCTCAGAAGGTGGCCTCTGGGTTATATTTGCCTTATAGGATTTCTCAGCTAAGGCCAGTTCTTGAGCCAGGCTTGTTGGGTAGTTAATATTTTCGGAATCTTGTCGGAGCCCTTTAAGATGAGTTGACCAGTCCAGAACAGTGGAAGGAGGAGGAATGGCCTCATTTAGTATCAACTCATTCAGCTCCCTCTTACTCTCCTCCTTTTGGAGAAAATAATGTGTGATTTTGCTCTGTCTCCTTCGGAGTTCTGGGAAGCTGATTAACGAATCTGGCATGATTCCCAGATCTTTGCAGTTCTTTCTAGTAAGTACCATAATAATTATGATTATTTGTTGGCAGTTTTCAGAAATCAATTATCTCCAAATGTGGCGGCCTTGAATTTACGAGTCTGGCGTCAGTGCCATCCAGTAGAAGGGAGCATTTTGGAGACTCTCTGCAGCTGCCACCTGGGCTCGCTCATCAACAGTTCTGATAATCAAGATGTTTCTCTTCTTTAATTTATAACTAGTATCTTGTAAACTTTGGCTTGACCTTGTGTTTGGCTCTGCCTAGCAAAGTGCTCAGCCCAGCCCAGCCCAGCCCAGCTTCATGCAGTCTCAGTTTAGGGGAATTAGGAGAATAAAACAATGAGATAAAACATTAAATTAAAACAACAAAATGAAGCACTAAAAGGAGTTAAGAAATAAAAGAAGAGAGGATAAAACCAAATTCTAAGGGTTGGTTATAGAGCAGAAACTTGCCTTAGAGTTGGCCTTAGAGCTCAAAACCCTACTTCAAACATTTGGCAGTCATCTTCCCCTCCCTTCCTCATCGCTGTCCATGCTTCTTAAGAGTTTGAAAAAGTTTTCCATGCCGGCTTCTGTTTTCATTTAAGCTTCACCTTTGGTTTCTTTTCTCTCTTCACAGGTCTAGGGGGTCATGCATATCTGAAGGAATGGATGTGGTGGGCAGGGCTGCTAACTAGTAAGTACTTCCATGCAAGATTTTACCATCTTCACCTACATTTCAACAACTTTAATTATTTCCTTTGCCTTCTTACATGACCTCCAGTAGCTCCCAATGAGTTCCTTGGTATTTGTTGTTGTTTAGTCGTTTAGTCATGTCCGACTCTTCGTGACCCCATGGACCAGAGCACGCCAGGCACTCCTGTCTTCCACTGCCTCCCCCAGTTTGGTCAAACTCATGCTGGTAGCTTCCAGAACACTATCCAACCATCTCGTCCTCTGTCGTCCCCTTCTCCTTGTGCCCTCTATCTTTCCAAACATCAGGGACTTTTCCAGGGAGTCTTCTCGTCTCTTTTTTTTTTAATGATATTTATTAAAGTTTCAACAAAATACAAGAAATACAGAATACAGAAAAAGGAATAAAGTTTTTGAAATATAACAAAAAAGTAAAAAATAAAAAGAAACATATGAAATAAAACAGTTAAAAAAAAGACATTAATTTTCCATAACCTATCTTCCCTACACTTATTTCCCCGGACCTCCTCGTACCTCCCTTTTTTGTATTCCAATTCAGTTTGTTAGTTCAGCAAATCCTTACCATTCAGCTTTTACCCAATTGTAGACCTTTTTTTCATATCTCTTAAAGCATTACAGCTAAAAACCTCTTAGTTTCTATCCAACATCCTTCTAACATTCATTAATTTTACAGTATTTCTGTAAATAGTCTTTAAATTTCTTCCAGTCTTCTTTCACCGACTCTTCTCCCTGGTCTCGGATTCTGCCAGTCATTTCCGCCAATTCCATGTAGTCAATCACCTTCATCTGCCATTCTTCCAGAGTGGGTAGATCTTGTGTCTTCCAATACTTTGCGATGAGTAGTCTTGCTGCTGTTGTAGCATACATAAAACAGGTTCTGTCCTTCTTTGGCACCAATTGGCCGACAATGCCCAGAAGAAAGGCCTCTGGTTTCTTCAGAAAGGTATATTTAAATACCTTTTTTATTTCATTATAAATCATTTCCCAGAAAGCCTTAATCCTTGGGCACGTCCACCAAAGGTGAAAGAATGTACCTTCAGTTTCTTTACATTTCCAACATTTATTATCGGGCAAATGATAGATTTTTGCAAGCTTGACTGGGGTCATGTACCACCTGTATATCATTTTCATAATATTCTCTTTTAAGGCATTACATGCCGTAAACTTCATACCTGTCTTCTCTTCTCATGAGGTGGCCAAAGTACTGGAGCCTCAGCTTCACAATCTGTCCTTCCAGTGAGCACTCAGGGCTGATTTCCTTAAAAATGGATAGGTTTGATCTTCTTGCAGTCCATGGGACTCTCAAGAGTCTCCTCCAGCACCATAATTCAAAAACATCAATTCTTCAGCGATCAGCCTTCTTTATGATCCAGCTCTCACTTCCATACATCACTACTGGGAAAACCATAGCTTTTACTATACGGACCTTTGTTGGCAAGGTGCTGTCTCTACTTTTTAAGATGCTGTCTAGGTTTGTCATTGCTCCTTGGTATAAGGAGCTTTATCATAAAGCAGCCTTGCAAATTAAACCACCAGAGTGGCTGGGGCATCTACAAATGGATGGGGTACATCATCATCATCATCATCATTTAAAATCATTACTAGCCTGCCTAATAACTTAGTCATTTGTAGATTACTGACAGGAGGTGGAGGGGATAATGTTGAATTTAGAAGACTTCTCCTGCTGGTCACCTGATTTTCTTACCCACCATAAGGGAGTAGTCAGGTGTGAACCTGTTTCAAAGGAAGATGAAATTTGCTCTTTGTTAACAGTTTTTGTGCCAGTGGCAAACTGCTTCTCTTGCAGTGGGAATTGGAGAAGTTGCCAACTTTGCTGCATATGCTTTTGCCCCAGCAACACTGGTCACTCCTCTAGGAGCATTAAGTGTTTTAGTCAGGTAAGCACAACATGATCAGATGTTTCCCAATCCGTAAGCCCTTTTCTGGAGACAAACATGCCAGTCTCAGGTCCTTTCTTAACACAGTTGTATCTTCCTATAGTGCAGTTTTAGCCTCCTACTTCCTGAACGAGCACCTAAACATCCATGGGAAGATCGGCTGTATCCTTAGCATTTTAGGCTCCACTGTGATGGTCATCCATGCCCCACAGGAGGAAGAGGTCTCCAGCCTGGAGTCAATGGTGGAGAAACTAAAGGATCCAGGTATTAACTGCCCCTCTTCATTTACCTATTGTACGCCAACAGAATACCATTTTGGGGGAGGGGGACTTAACAGAAATTGAGTGTTTTTCTTAATTTCATTGAATGAAAACTCATGTTGATAATCAGTAACCTGTGAGTGAATAATTTTTATAGCACCTATTTTATTCTCTTTATTCCCCCACTGATGACATTTAGTTGGCTTTGAACCATAACAGTGAGATAAGAATTCTAAAGCACACTGTGCTCTGAAAAACTGTACAAGCAACTGAAGGAGGAAGGTCTTAGTTCTAGTCAAACCCAGTGCAAAAAAAAATATAAGCTGGGGGCTTTGTGTCTTATCCTTTGAGCCACTGTCTAAGCTCTGCTGCTTATACTTTTTCCTCTATGTATTTTACTCACCAGATTCTACTAACTGAATCTAGCTTGTGCACTCATTGATCTGAACAAAACTGTCTACATCCTGCAGAAGTAAGCTACACCTAAAAGATTCAGATTGTCCTTAACAATTTCTCCTCTATCCTCCTCCACAGGATTTATAGCGTTTGCTGTGTGCATGCTGATGAGTTCAGCTCTTCTCATCTTTGTGGCTGGGCCTCGCTATGGACAATACAATGTCTTAGTGTATGTTTTGATCTGCTCTGCCATTGGTTCGCTCTCTGTCTCATCTGCAAAAGGCTTGGGTATTGCCCTGAAAGAACTGTTTGCTGGGAAGCCTGTCTGGAAGGAACCATTGAGCTATTTGCTTTTTATTTGCCTTGTGATCTCCATCAGCATCCAGATCAACTACCTGAACAAGGCCTTGGATATCTTCAACACATCTGTAGTCACCCCCATCTATTACGTCCTCTTCACCACAGCAGTTATGACTTGCTCTGTCATTCTGTTCAAGGAGTGGCAGCATCTGGTTCTGATGCACATCATTGGCACCATCAATGGCTTCCTCACCACTGACCTTGGCATCTTCCTACTGCATGCTTTCAGAGACATCCCCTTCACTGCCGACCTGCTGCCTCTTATCCTGAACGATAACCAAACAAATGTGCAAGCAGCTTCTTGGAGAAAGGGGGGCAAGCATCAGTCCTGTCTTCACCAGCCCCTTTTGGATTCTGAGGATACCCACAAAGAGGGGACAAAGAAAGCAGAGGAGCAATATGGCCAAAGTTTATGAAAGCTTGCACATTATACATAGCCTTTTGGCTTAAAAAAAGATATATCCCAATCCATTTTTAAGCTGTTCTAAAGAGCTTCTTAAGACTGCTGCTGTTTTCCACTAGACAAGAATCAGATTCTAAATAAGCAACACTGAACTATTTGAAATGCTTTTATGTGCAAGTCCTTTCACTGGTAACATACTTGAACCAAATTAGAGACCCAATCAGGTCAAGCTAGAGCTCAGCAAGTGGCAGCCCTAGAGCTGAACTTGCTGTCTCCTGCATCCCCTCCCATGCAGCTAGAAGTAATGTGGAGGACAAGAAAGAAAACCAAGGACAAAAATCTGTGCACCTGAGGGTTTTTTGAACCAGCCTCTACACAAAAAACGAGTTTCAAATGTAAAGGGGGATGTGGCTTTGGTAAGGAGGGTGTGAATTGCTCAGGGAGTGTTGCAAAGTAAGCAGAAGCAACATAAGCAGAAGCAAAATACTTCAGTCAGAGGCAGGAATGCACAGCAGAATTCCTCTTTCTCTTGTAATCTGCTGAAGGTAACTCAAATCTCGGGGAATGGGAGAAGTAGAGAAATACAGGTGAAATTCGGAAAATTAGAATATAATGGAAAATCAACACAGACTGTGGAAACTTCACACTGGACTTCAAGCATCTGGCATTGTGTTCCTCCCCATTCTTCCTCCAGACTCTGGGTCCTTGGTTTCCAAATGAGATCCAAAAGCTGCTCTCATCAGAAAAGATGTTTGGGGAGCCATGTCATCAGCTGGTGTTGGTCCACTGTGCTTCACTAAGTCCAGGGTCAACGCAGCTGTCTACCAGGAGATTTTGGAGCACTTCATGCTTCCTTCCGCAGACGAGCTTTATGGGGATGCTGACTTCATTTTCCAGCAGGACTTGGCGCCTGCCCACACTGCCAAAAGTACCAAAACCTGGTTCAATGCCCATGGGATTACTGTACTTGATTGGCCAGCAAACTCACCTGACCTGAACCCCGTAGAGAATCTATGGGACATTGCCAAGAGAAAAATGAGAGACATGAGACCGAGCAATGCAGAAGAGCTGAAGGCTGCTATTGAAGCATCCTGGTCTTCCATAACACCTCAGCAGTGCCACAGCCTGATTGCATCCATGCCACGCTGCATTGAGGCAGTAATTGATGCAAAAGGTGCCCAAACCAAGTACTGAGTACATATGCATGCTTCTACTTCTCAGAGGTCCAATATTGCTCTATTTGCAGTCCTTGTTTTGCTGATTTCATTTAATATTCTAATTTTCTGAGATTATTACTTTGGGGTTTTCACCAGCTGTACACCATAATCATCACAATTATAACAAATAAAGGCTTGACATATCTTGCTTTGCATGTCATGAGTCTGTCTCATATATTAGTTTCACCTTTTAAGTTGAATTACTGAAATAAATGAACTTTTCCACGATATTCTAATTTTCCGATTTTCACCTGTAGATCAGCACAGGAAGACCGACCTGAAAACCATTTTTGCTTCCCAAACTGGCCAAATGTTTTCTCTGCAAGGAGGGAGGGGGTCAGGGAGCCTTCCCATTTTCTCAGGAATTGAGTAATCAGCATTTTAATGGGTGACAGACTATCAGGAAAGGTAATCAGGAAAGGCTATCAGAAAACCTGGCAGACAGGAAAAACAACATTCAAATTTCTGTTTTAGACCACCTTTTCTGTGATGTAGGTATGTGGGGGGGGGGGGGTCCTTGGGTTACACCCTTTCTGTGATGTATGTATGATGTATGGGGGGGGGGGTCTTGAGCTCCACGGCAGTGAATTTAAAATTTCTGTATAAGGGCAGGCACACCTTTGTTCTGGGTTCCTCTTCCTTTCCTGCTTGTGAGGGGAGCACCCTGTTGTAACAGATCAATAAAGATCAGGTTTAGTAGCTGCTTTGCTTCTCAATATTCTCTGCTTGGCCTTTGTTATTTTCTCCTACCAATAGGGAACCTACGTAAGGACTCTGTATGGGCTGTTGGACACCCCATAAGGGGAAAAGGGCACATTTTGTTTACAACAGATGGCAATGCACAAAGGGACGTTTGGTTGCCCGGATTCTGGGAGCGAGGAAGGACTGGTGATCCAGCGCACAGCAGGCAGTTTGCCAGGAGGAATAACCAGTCCTCCAGCGATCCCAGGGTCTGGAAATAACTGGAGGTCAAACGGGGTTAACCAGAGGAAGCAAAGCTCGATCAGACCGGCCTTAAACAACCAGTCAAGAGATCCCAGGATCGCCAGAACAGTGAATGCGGAAGTGAGTATAAGTAGGAAACACGGGTAGCGGGTTGGGATACTGTAACCACAGCAACCTATAATTCTCTAAATCTTACTTCCTTCCCTTCCTCAAAACCCTGAACCCCTTTCACTTCCAGACCTTTCGGAGTTTGTCCAGGTCCTCCCCCTTCAGAGCTTGTCCAGATTTCCCCCTTTTGGGACCCTTCGGAGTTTGCCCAGGTCCTTTCCCCCTTTTCAGAGATTGTCCAGGTTTTCCCCCTTTCGGAAATTGCCCAGGTTTTCCCCCTTTCGGAGATTGTCCAGGTTTCCCCCTTTTGGAGATTGTCCAGTTTTTCCTAGGTTCCCCTTTCAGAGATTGTCAGTCTTAGAAAATGGGTGCACCCCTGTCAAAAGAGACAAGTCCTCAGACTCCCAGCAAGAAGGAAGCCCAATTGGCGCTTACTTCCCGCCTGGACTCTGACAGACCCCTTCAGTTTGTGTTTAAGAAACATTTTTTCTGTGTTTAAATTGACCTTAGGTAACATCCAGCAATTGCCTATCTTAAATGTGCCATCTAAAATAAATAAATAAATAAATAAATAAATTGAAAGCTTGCTTCAAAATTTTAATCTAAGGAAGCCATGTTGGGCCTTATCAATCTTAAACAAGACAAATATGAGAATGAGGTGTGCAAATGTTTGTTATTTGAGAGAGGCTCCAAAGGAGAGTCTTCCTCCAAGTGGTAGAAAGAAAAGAGAAAAAATAAAAAATAAATCCCGTGTATGTGCTTACCTGTGTTCTGAGAGGGGGATTGCCCCCCCTTCCCTAGACAACTAAAGAAGAAAGAAATTTGTAACTCTGAGTTTATGAGAGAGCTAGTTTCATTAAGCGTTAGGTAGGTCTCCTTTTGAGAGAAAAGTGTCATTCTGAGGAATCCTTGGAAGTATTATGACTATATGACTATGAAAATATGGTGTTCCTTCTAAGAAGAATGTTATTAAAGGTAGAAGCTTCCATAGCCAGCAACTGTCTATCTGAGTCCAGTTTTAACTTTGATTCGGTTGGACAGAAGGGTTATTGTAAGGCTCCTGATATCAGTCTCTGTAAGATCAGCCAGGATTTCCTGGCCTCTTTTCTTGAAAAATGCCCCCCCCCCCCCCGTTCCAGTCTCTTTCAGTCTCTCCCCCCCCCTTACTTCTGTGCCAGGTGAATTTACTCCCGAGTAAGCTTCCTTTAACAAGGAAACTGCAAAGGGTGGGCGGGCAATCTTTGCTAAAGGTACCCCGCATCTCACTTTTGTAAAATAGGCTTACTATTCCTATGCAAGTTCAGGAAAAAATGTTCACTTTTGTATTCCTTTTAAATCAAATCTATGGCTGTTTTATTATTTGTGAGTGGTTATATCAACTCTTGAATTAACCCTATTCTTTATAAAAGATTCTCTCCCTATCTAATCTTAGGAAAACTGTTCATTTGTATCTTCCTTTAAAGATCATTTCTCTAGGAACTTGCACTCTTTAGTCTAAGGAAGTAAACTCTCACTCAAACTATCTTAAGATCTGCTAAAAAGGTTCTGTATAAAGTTGGGTACTTTTATTTTCCTTTTCCTTAGTACACGTGTGTGCTTGCATGATAGGGGCATGGCTTGTGTTTCCTTCCCCAGTTGTGTCTGTGTGCATAAGTATGTGTGTCTCTCTCTGGTAGTACAAATCTTGCTATGGGTTGGACTAGGTGACCCCAGGGTCCCTTCCAACTCTCCCAGTTTTATGGCTGTGTGTAAGGCAATGTGTCTGCAAGCATTGGAGGGTAATTTTAAAATTCTGGTGTATGGTGATGGGTTGAAGTTCAGCCCAGCTTTGCTTTTTGGTACAGAAAGATTGAAAGATTGGTTTTTAGAGTTTAGAATAAAGTTTTAAAAGGTGAGAGGTGAAAGCCGTGATGTTTTTGAAGCAGAACTGGTGATAACAAGCATTTGCGTGATTGTCTAACAGTTTTTACCATTTTGTCTATTATTTAAAAAATCAGACTTAAAAGTCTATTCAAAGTTTAAGCACGTACAAATTCATAATCAAACAGACTGAGCCTTGACCATCCCTGTAAAATAAAGGGCAGAAATTTTGTCTGCAAATGGTAGGGCTGAAATGACTGAGAATGTTAAAGATCTTATGAATTCTGACTCTCTGCCCATTTTTACCCATACATAAGGGAGCAGGTGATTGTTCCGCGAATGACCAGAGAGGGAGCACACAAAATAATGATAGCCCACATTTTTAAATAGAGGCGTGCACCCCATTTCCTGTACATAAAGGAGGTGGTATTCCCAAATTCCCTTTGCCTGGGTGCAGGTATATTTATTTGGTGAAGGAAGCATGATCCCTTAGAACTGAGTTAACAGAAATTTAATTTGACCAGCTTCTATTGCTAGCTTTGGTGAAAACTTGAATTGCTGAGTTTCTCTTTTCGTTTTAAATCTAACCCTATTTTAAAATATACTCCTTACCCTTCCCTTCCTTTATTCAAATTGTAATTTAGCCAAAAGATGCAACACTTTTAATGGTATAAAAGATTTGCTGAAACTTGAACTCTGCACATGCACAGAGGCTATGTCAGCTTGAGAAAGAGAAAGAGAAGAAAAGGGAGGTTTTAACTAAGAGGTGACAAAGTTATGCTCTGCACATGAAACTTAAATTCAAATTTATTTCTGTAAAATTGGGAACCATTAAGGGAAATGCAATGAGAATTACCCCTTTTCCGTATGTTGCCCAAAATCC